GGGTCGGAAGGGACCTTAAAGGTCATCTAGTTCCAACCTCTCTGCCATGGGCAGGGACATCTCCCACTAAACCAGGCTGCTCAGAGCCCCATCCAGCCTGGTCTTGATCACATCCAGGTTGGAGGTGAGCTGAACGTGTCCATGATCCAGGGTTCTCCGTGCTGCAGGAGGTCCTGAGGCAGACTGAGTGATGGAGACAGGGATGGGCTGCTCAGCCCTCACACACCCCTGGCTTAGCACAGAGAATAAACGCTCTGGGCTGGGATGTGACAAGGGATGAGAGTCCCAGATCTTTGAGATCATTGAGAGCTTTCACCTGGTTGCTGCAATTTAAAAGTGCCCTTTCTGTGAGGATCCCAGCCCGGGTTTGAAGTTGCCTGGTGCTGACGTTTGGCTTCCTTCCCTCTGTGCCACAGCCGTGGTCAGCTCCAGCGGCGGAGGAGGTTCTGGCGGGTTCCTGGCAGGAGGAATGGGAGGAGGCCTGAGCCTGGGAGGAGCCATGGGCAGCGGGGCACTCGGCTTCTCCTCGGGCAGCAGCACCAAGTCCTACACTGTCACCACGACCTCCAGCAGGAGAAGCTTGAGGAAGTAACGGCAGCAGCAGAGACCAGTGGTACCCGTTACGTGGGAGGAGGGAAACCGTAGAGAGAAAAGTCTCCTTGCTTTTTGTAGGACAAATTGGCTGCAAGGTTTCTGCAGTGATGAATGAACTGGAGGAAGACACAGCAGAGTACCTGCCCCTGCCACGTCACGCCCGGGGCTTGGTCCTGCACTGTTGAACTTGGTGGGAACCGTTCCACTGAGAGCAGGTTCAAGCCTGTGGGGTGAAATTTATCCAGTGAAGCAGGGAGAAACCTTTTGTTACCCGTGTGCCGGGTACCCCCTGCTCAGGGCTGGATTTCACCCTTTGAAGGGCAAAGCAATTGTCTGCGTGGCAACTAGCCCACATTTCTGCTGTGGTTTTGCAAAAGAGACCGAAGATTATCTCCCTCTTAATATGATTTGCAAGGTTTTATTCCCTTAGGCTCCTCAGAAAGCAGTAACTCTTGTTAAGGTTTCAGCCTGGCTTTGTTTTCTTAAAGAATACCAAGAATAGAACAGTGAAACTGGTTTGAGTTTCTCTTTATTTTCTTTGGAGATGGGCTCAGAAATGGAATCCAGGAATTCTCCTCTGAATGAAGCTGATTTCTTACTGAAGGCAATGCAGACAGCTTTATTTCAGGGTCTTTACAGCAAAGTAGCTCATAAACAAGCTCCCCTGCCCATTCCTCTCATTAAAAGAAGTCCAGAGCTTAAGGGATAAGAAGTTGCTTAAAATTTTAAGCAGCACAGTAAAAGGGGAGATAACATTCCTCATCCTTGGGTGTCTCTGTTTACCACCCTGGATTTCAAAGCGCATCTGGTGCTATCTGGTGTCTTTACTACAGCGAGGGAAAATGGGTGTGTTGTTGGTGCATCATTACAACAACTGCTTGTTCCTGCCAAAATGTGTCTTCAATTCAAACGTGCCAGGGAGAACAGTTCAGTCGTTGCTGCAGCAGGAAGAACTGGTGGATAAATACCTGGAAGAAGCTGCCGAGCGCTGTTGTATCGTGTGCTCAGCCATGTCCTAGGGCTGTCTTTGCTTGGTGTTTTGTGCTTTTCTGGTCTGAGACCTTGTCATGAGGCTGTTAATAAAGTTTCCCTGTTGTGTGCTTCTTCAGTCCCAGCCGAGTTCCTGGTCTGTGCTGCCCCAGGTGCTCAGGAGCTCTGGGCAGCATCCCCTGTCACCTCACTCCTCCCATCCCCAGAGCCTGCCTGGGGCCGTGTCCCCTGAGCGGTGCCACGCTGCAGTGTCCCCCTCCTGGGTGAATTCTGCCCCCCTGCTTTGCACCCAGTCTGGGCAGTGGGATGGTGGGACTGGTTTGTTCAAGCACTTGACTTCAGCCCAGCTGCTGGTCGGGACTGAGACCAGTCCCTCTCCACGCACCATCTTCCTCCACCAAGCCAAGAGGAGCTAAACATTGGAGCAGACCCCTCTCATACAGATGGCCAAAGACTGGAGAGGTGAATCTGGACCTTGCTGTGTGAGGATGACTCGTTCCTGCTCCTTTTGGGGTAGCATGGGGTGAGAGGAGCTCACCCCAGGGTGGTTTGTGCTTGCTCCCATTCTTTTTGTAGGGCCACGGTGCAGAGACAAGGTGAGCCCTTGCTGGAGCTGCTGTTGCAAAGCATGATGCCAGCTCCAGTGGGGCCAGGCAGAGACCCTGTAGTCACTGAGAGGAGCCGTTTCCTCCAGGACGAGGATGCCAATGAGATTGCCAGGGCCTGGAATCACAGGATCATTTAGGGTGGAAAAGGCCTTTAAGATCATCTTATGATGATGGAGCATCCACAGCTTCCCTGGGCAACCTGTGAGGGGGCTCACCACCCTCAGGGTGAGGAACTTCTTCCTAACTTCTAATCTCAATCTCCCCTCTTCCAGTTGGAAGCCATCACCCCATGTCCTGTCACTACAAGCCCTTGTCAAAAGTCCCTCCCCAGCTTTCTTGTAGGACCGCTCAGATACTGGAAGGCTGCAATAAGATCTCCTGGAGCCTTCTCTTCTCCAGGCTGAACAACCCCAACTCTCAGCCTGGCCTCCTAGGGGAGGTGTTCCAGCCCTCAGGTCACCTTTGTTCTGCTCTTATTTAAACATGCTTTACAAGTTTTTATGTCATACTTTAAGTGATACTTCTTGGAGTGTTTCTGCCATCTCTGCTTGCTCCTGGCCTCTGCATTTCTGCCCTCCTAGCGAGCTGCCCTCCTTTTCCCTAGCTGAGAGCCCTGGCTGGAGGCTGTGCTCCTGCTCACTGGCTGGTGTCTCGCTCTGGGCTGCGCTGCAGGATGTGGGCACTGCCCCTGTGGCACTGCTGTGCCACCAGCTGCGAGGCTGGCACAAAGGAGGTGTAGGTTCTGGTCTTTGTAGGGGAACTGTGGCAGGGGAAGGGTGAGGACTTGGATGCAACCAGGCCTGGGAAGAAGGGTGCAGATGGTGAGGAGCCTTCTTCATTTCCCCAGTGTCTAAGTCACATTTGCTTCAGTTTCCATCAGTTTTTCAGTAACTACTGAAGCCAAACCCTGCTCCAAGGGTGGCTGAGATTTTCATCTTGTGTTTAAAAGGAACTAAGTGGCATGAAACCAGCAGGGGCTGGGCTGAGTCCCCAGCTCCCCTGGGCAGGGAGTAGTAAGGTGGGGGGAGACAACTCATATCCTGGGAAGGCTTCCACCTGGGAAGCCTAATTAGCTTGATGAGGTTATAAAGGGCAACACCCCGTACAGTGGAGATGAAGAGGTCTTCTAGCCTCTTGCTGGGGGTGGTGGGACTTTGTGCTCTTGCACTGGGAGGAGGTAGGTGGTGTGGACTGGGAGCTGGGTCTGCTGTGCCTGGGGGGTCACTGCAGCGAGCTGAGTGGGACCTGGTCTGGTGCCAGGAGGAGAGGAAGGTCAGGGGGGTGTAAAACCATCAGCAGCTGCTGGTGTCTGGCTCTGGGGAGCTCCCAGGCAACTGAAGGCAGTCAGTGGTGGGTTTAAGGGGATTTAGCAATTAATGCTAGTAATAGAAAGTTTCAGTTAGCTTCATGCAAATTGCTGCAGCATCTTTGCTTAGTCAGTGCCCTCTCAAAGTTTTTGTTTGTTTATTTTTGTGGGGGGAAAGTCATTTGGGGCTCCACCCTGTCCTAATGAAGACATCCAACCTGGGAAGCACCTGCTTCTCGTGCCTGGACACTCAGCCCTGGCTGGAATGGAGCCTGCTCCTCGTGTGCAGGCGTGAGGAGGAGGAGAGCTGTGCCTTGGGCTCCGTGGTGCTCTGCAGAGAGGCTGTGACCCTTCTCCCTGTGTCTCCGCTCATGTGCATGGAGAAGAGATGAGCTGGGGGCTATGGGGACCACTGAGGTGTGGTGCCTGGGCTGGGAGGGAAGAGCTCCCAGTGGGTGGGGGAGAGCTTGGCCTCTGCCTATTTTAGACCCCTGTAAGATTTGGCAATTGAGAACCTGAGCAGAGACAAGAATTAACCCTCCTTTCCCCAGATGAAGGCATCAAATGAAGGTCACTGAGTTCCTCTGTTGATTTATTGGAGATACAAGACTAAAACTAGTGTGAAAGCCACTGACAAAGTACCTGGTCATTAGAAATAAATCACCACATCCCCTTTTCCTTCAAATAGGTTAATGGCCTTAACCAGCAGTTCAGTCAGACTGGGAAGGGAACTTAGACACTGTTCCCAGTGTCTAAGGTTGGGTTTGGATCCCTGGAACAAGGTCACAGAGGACCTTTGTGTCCTGGGGCCAGACAAGTTGGTGGATCAGCCCCTCTCGTACCTGAGAGCGGACTCTGGGCCCCAGACCCTTCAGTTATGATGGCATTTATGGCAGCAGATGAGCCAGACCACTAAAAACCCAGAAGAAAAAGGGAAGTTGAGGTTCAGTTAACAGATAATGGGGGTACAGAAGCAAACTACCATCAAGCAGCAACAACCCTTGAAATCTGTTCTTTGGGGCAAGTAATCAGTGAGATCAATGCAATGTGTAGGGAACTGCAGGCGAGGGAATTTTAGGGGAGTTCTGCTCATGCCAGGGGTGTGTGTCATCTGAAAGGCTGACTTCAAAAGGAGGTTGATTGGGGTGGGAGCTGCCAAGACAACTGGGCCAGATAAAGCTCTAATGAAAATGCTCTTAGGTAGAAGGTGCCCCCTCCCACTTCATTCTAATCCTTGAAGCAGTAGGAGTGGAGAGCCCAGGGAGCTGCACCAAAGGCAGCTTTGAACTGCAGGGTGGGAGTGGTGAGGGGAGTTTAGCCCTGTAAGCTCCCAGATTCATGAGCAGGAGTGGCTCGAGTCTTGAGCATAGAGGAGATCTCCCCGTGCCATGGGAAGTGGGGCTGGGGTCTGGGGGAGCTGGGCACATGCTGACACTGTCTTGGCAGAAGGGGGTCTGGAGGGTGTTGCTTTGTTTCCAGCCTTGCCTTTTATCTGCAGCTCTTCACATGTTGCTCCTGGCTGACTTGGTCATGGGCACCACCTCCACGTGGGAGCTCCTGGTGTTCCTGCTGCCAGCACTGTCTGCACAGCTCCCCACGGAGCCCCAGACCCCCACGCTGCGGGACCACCACCCACTGCCCTGGGCTGCCACGTGGGCACTCACAAAGCCAGGCTCTGGGCCGTGGGTGAGACCTCCCTGCGTCTGGCAAGCAGCTGTGAAAGGGAAAGCAAAGCTGAGTTTCAGCTTGGGGGATTCCCTGGAGAACAGGCAGAAGGTGCCTGAGTTTGGTAGAAGGTGAATGCTCCAACTTACAGAGGCTGCTGGGGAAGCTGCCTTCTGCACAGAGCCTGTAGAGAGGGGAAAAGGTTGCACATGGTCAGTCTATCTTCAGAGCCCCTGGGCCTCAGTTGTGAGCCTGACCCTCTGCAGCCTGTCTCTTGGTGCCAGAGGGAGCAGGACTGGGTGGCTGGCTGGGGTTGAGCTGGTGGAGGTGTTAGGACTGATGGGAAGGAGTGATGGGCGTCAGGACCGTGTGCTTGATTTGCAGCACAGCAGCTCTGAAATCTCACCTCCTGTTGCTTTTCTTTTCAACACGTGCATCTAAAGTAGCCTGTGCAGCCCAGCTAGGGCTTGGCACCCACCTGCTCTCCCCTCCCTCCAGCAGCTTCCTGTAGGTCACGATCTCCATGTTCAGGGCCAGCTTGACATTCATCAGCTCCTGGTACTCGTGGAGCTGCTGGGCCAGCTCTGCCTTGCTCTGCTGCAGGACGGCCTCCAGCTCGGAGAGTTTGTGCTTTGCATCCTGGATGGTCTTTTCCCCGAGCTGCTTGGCATCAGCCATGGCAGCTTCCAGCTTGCAGCACTGCAAGGAGTGAGACGTGGTCAGTCTGGGCTGTTGCTGTCCTCGAGTGCTCTGCGTTACCCAGAGATGGGTCTGAAGTCTGGCTCTGTCCAGCCCAGCAGTAAGAGGGACACACGTGGGGGTTTGGGAGAGCTGGACGTGCAGTTTCAGCACTTCCTCGTGTTGCTCACAGAGGGTGGGATGCTGTAACCACATCTGCCCTCAGGTCCTGCATGAGCTGGGCTTTGGTGCAGCCCTGGTTGGAGCAGCAGAGGCCCAGCTTGTGAGGACCCTTTGCAAGGTGCTACAGCACCATTTAATCTCACAGTGGGAGCTCTCAGGAGCAGCAGTTCCCCCTGTGCCCTGCTGGAACAGCCAGACCTGGCTGTGCTCACCTGCTCCTTGGCTCTCCTGACCTCTGCCTCCAGTCTCTGGGCTCTTTGTGTCAGCTCAGCTGTCTTCTTCTTGGTCTCTCTCAGTCTGGCAGCGTTTCTGCAAGCGCTGACTCGCAGCTCCTCAAACTAAAAAAGCCCAGAAGAGGTGGCTTTGTATCCCCAAAACACGTGCTTGGAGTTAAATCGGAGCAAATCGGCAGAGTGGAGGGGGTTTGAAGTTGGTCTGAAGATAGAAACTACACCCAAACCTTCTCTCTGCCAGCTTTGCTCACCTTGCCTTTGTGCCAGGCCTGTGCCCCTGCCCAGCTCCTGCGGGCAGCCTCGCACCGAGCCGTGGCGGC